TTCTTATTAAAATTAGAATACAAAAAATCTTCTCATATTACATACATATTGTATCAAATAAGTTGACATTTTTATTTTTATTTCATTGATTAATTATATTAAGATGTCGTGGAATCTGTAAATAAGAATTAAGTCAACATAAATCTTATCAAGAGGGGACAAAATGTTTTAACATTTGTTTTAAGTAGAAGTTAGGCTATTAGATATTTCAATAAAAATCCAAAGATATTAAATAAAACAATTTAATACATAATTTAATTAAACCCAAAGAACACATCTAACAATATTCTTTTTTATAAATTCAACAAAATTACACCAGTTTTATTAAAAAAATTATCAATATCCAATACCTGTGAGTATTATAAAAATATTTAATACATGACTCGAATGGATTATACATGAAAGAAACTGGTAAATAATGCCTGGGGTAAATAGCGCTATGAGCATACGAATGAGGACTGGAGACAACGTCAAAGATAGCATATCAGGGCAGATATTTAATAATGGAAATATTATTATGTAGGGTGAAAACGATTTCGTGCATCGTAACTCGTGAATGTTCTGCTGTTTATGTGTGAGTGTTTTTAATAGCTGGAATATTGATATTTGATATTGCTTATTCTTTTTTAATTTTTTTTTTTTATTATTTATTCGTGGCCAAATCATTTTAGGTAAATAATTCATATAAATATTTCCTTTTACGGCAGCGGCAATTTTTATTATCTGATATCTGTTTTCATTTTATGTGACTAAAACTTTAATAAATATTTGGTTAGTATTTATAGAGATTATAAAATGGACATTCAAACATAATGGAGTGAAGGCATCCGTGTTTTTTTCAGCGGCTCTGGGCTTTTACTGTGCATCAAATAGACATACTGGTTAGAAATTTCGTACATAAAACTTCGTTGAAACGCTGTCAAGATAAATTCTCAAAACATTTTTAGGTAGAAAATCTATATAAATTCATAGTTATAATTCTCCTCAAACCCCAAACGGCGTAGAGGTAAAAAGTCATGCATGAAAAATTTATTCAAGTCTCGTCCGCTGGCTCTTTGTGTTGCTAATTCCATTTTATTCTTTTCTGGTCTGCTGTCATTAACCTTGCTAACGTCGTTATAATGTATTCAGGACGATTGGACTATAGTAATTTGACTTTGTGGCTTTAACGAAAATGTTTATTCCTTTTCGTATTACTTGTTTTATTTTTTATCTATTTTACTTCCGTGTTCTTGATAATACTTCAAAGATATGTGAAGAAACATTTAATATTCTTCCATTACAAAGCCACTGCCAGAAACGTTTATAACCTCTTAAATTATGTCGTCACTGAACCAACTCCTAACATTTGATGTGACAGCGTGACATTGTAGCTCAACACGTCATACGCAGTTGGGTCACATTGGAAAATCTCTTTATATTTCATTCACGCTCGGTGAGGAATATTTATAGCGAATGAAGGATTTCTTCGCTAGGGTTGACTTTATATCGATAAAATAGTCAATATTTTCATATAATATATGAAAAGTTTTTTCAGTTTAGTGACCACTAAGTATTTATTTTTATCATATGTTATCATTTAGATTTAACACGATACTCTTTATGAATTTACCTCCCTCAAAGTGAGATTTAAATAAATCTTGTCGTTTTACAAAGTCAATTTGAACACATATTATTTTTTACTTAATTGCTTTTATCGATGTTAAAAACAGTACAGTCATTTTATGTTTAAGTATTGCCCCATTAGTGTTAATGCCTAATGATTAGTCAAATCAAACATGAAAAATAAATACTAAACCCAAAAAATATATGTAGATAACAACTTCAGGAGTATTTTATGTTATTTATATATAATTTATTCATTTACTTCCCTATATTATAACATTTTATATTAAATAACAGTACATTGTTTCAATAAATTGCTAAAATTATAATCTTAGATGGTGAAAATAAATAATTATTTTGTCGTTTATAAATTTTCACTGTTGAAGTAACTTTGTCAAATCTGTTCTGTGAAAAAGTTGATCATAAGTTTTGAAGAAATCCCTTTTTTATGTTTTATATCTCTTTGTGTTTTACCTTGTTAAATAATATTTTGATGTACAATGAAGGTAATAGCCGTATATATACATTTATATTAAAACTTTGTAGAGATTCATTTAAATAAAAATCCATTCAACAATACAAATAATACTAATTAAGTGAACTGCTATCATGAGTACAACCCATCACTATCTATCAATGACATCACTTCTCTATATAAAGCCGATTTTCCAAAGTCCGAAGCCAGTGAGCGATGACAGTACTCGATCACTGAAAGAAGATCGCAACTTAAACTTAAAACCCCAATATGTATATAAGATCGTTTAGAACCTCCACATTATTATTACATACAATGTTTATTATCAGATTGTTTTCAATTGTATGTTTGCTGAAGGAGTTGTTATAAGTATATATATGTATGTATATATACAACAATCTAATTTATTAATTTAGCATTTATAGAACATAATAAGTATTTATACATATGTATTTGAATTCTAACGTTAATACTCTGAATGTTTGATTATTTTTAATTCATAATATAATTATTTGATTATGTATTACTTATAATTTATTTAATTGTTGTGAACTTTACTATGTAAAAAAAATCTGTATTAAGAAACATAACATTTAAAAAAAGTTATTTTTAACTGAATATTTAGGATAAAAGTTGTATTTTCACTTCTGAGTTTACAATTTCAATGGACATTGGTCTAGTTGCTACTATTTGCCTTTACCTACCTTTAAATAATTTACATGGTGTAGTACTTGGTATGAAAATATAAAAAATACATAACATTTCGTCTCAAGTTTTCAGTACTTCGTCATCGCTACAATTGTTACACTTATTTTTTATTCAAATAAAATTGAAAGACAATCTTGCTTTTAGTCTAAGATCCCGATATAAGGCGACCTTCACCGAGATGTTTATTTGATGAAACATATTTTATATTCAATTTAATATGTCAATAACTATATTACATATGGGTTGCCTCATAAATTTTAGTCCAGGATATGATTAATTAACAATTAAAAATAGATTTTTTTTTTCAAATATTTCACCGGTTTGTTTATTAGATAAAATCCACACCAATCGAAAGTACGGAGCCCATAGAATATGAAAAAGTTAGGTTGCCTATTCTTTTCCAGTCACAACTCTCGGGTTGCCAGGGATAAACAGGTACATCGATAGTAGCATTTTGCACCGGTCTGATAATTTAATCAAATTTAAATGAAAATAAAGATTATTTAATTATGAACACAGTGAAATAGGGTTGCCTGCGAAAAATCGGTCCTAAATTAGGGTTGTCGAATTTTAAAAAGTAAAATATTACCGCGAGTGAATATGTACGACTGAGAGGTCCCAAGCATTTTTATGAAAAATTACTCTGCTAAAGAAGACAATGAGCAGTTTCAAAAAAAAAATCAAAGGCTTTGACTCTAACTCCATACCTCCGTGCTGGATATCATTAACGCAAAAAATTTTACGAACTATTTTCGTAAATTCAATGTGTCTGAATGCAACAGATCCAATATGCATCAAACTTGAACCAGAAAGCTGCGGTTGGTACTTAGATGAATATTTAAAACCACGAGGATTCATTGGGGATCATACACCTTTAAGAATAGTTGATATTGTCGAAAGAACCGAAACAGAGAGTGATGAAGAAGAAGGTGCAGATGTCGCAGATCTCAGTTTCATGTCCGATGACTCAGAAGCTGAATAATTTAAAAATATTTATGTATTTATAATTTTTTATAATAAACAAATATTCATTTTGAATTGTTTTTCATTTTTTTTCGAATAAAAAAAAATTCTCTAAATTAGTATTACATATGTATTGTTATAACCTTCTTATTTACTATATATGTATATATATGTTGTTATGCTCTGTCCTCTTCTAACGCACGGAACAGTTGCTTGGGACCTCTCAGTCGTACATATTCACTCGCGGTAATATTTTACTTTTTAAAATTCGACAACCCTAATTTAGGACCGATTTTTCGCAGGCAACCCTATTTCACTGTGTTCATAATTAAATAATCTTTATTTTCATTTAAATTTGATTAAATTATCAGACCGGTGCAAAATGCTACTATCGATGTACCTGTTTATCCCTGGCAACCCGAGAGTTGTGACTGGAAAAGAATAGGCAACCTAACGTTTTCATATTCTATGGGCTCCGTACTTTCGATTGATGTGGAATTTATCTAATAAACAAACCGGTGAAATATTTGAAAAAAAATCTATTTTTAATTGTTAATTAATCATATCCTGGACTAAAATTTATGAGGCAACCCATATGTAATATAGTTATTGACATATTAAATTGAATATAAAATATGTTTCATCAAATAAACATCTCGGTGAAGGTCGCTTATATCGGGATCCTCTACTATTTCATTAAATCGTTGAATTCTTTATATTGTAATTCGAATGTGAATATTTTTGTGTATTTTGAAAATGTTATACTTTTTACATCCGATCTAAAAGAAATCAAATACATTTAATAAATAAAAATCTTATAAAAGTAATAGAACAAAAAATAAAATAACAATCGTCCAGGAACATACCATGGCTAAGAAAAATAAAATTGAAAAAAAGATTGTCCCATTTCCCATGAGTATATACCGTAATAGAATTTCGTAATGCTCTCATGTATTATTTGTTTTTACTTTTATTCTGTAAAATAAATTAAGAGATAAGATAAAGGTTTATTTTAATACAATCTATTAATAGTGTAGATATGTATATAATTTAGTTATTAAAATGAATTATTCTATATTTTAGTCTAGTCTTAAGTTTTAAAGATAGAGCACAAATTTGTTGATTATGATAAAATTTAATTTAAAGTTACGTTATTTTAAAAGTTGGAAACATGATCGATTCTTTTCGATAATTTTATAATATATTTTACACAGAATTATCATTACTTATTCATATTTCCAATTTACAGATTCAAGGAAAACCAATAATACAGCAGAGAATTCTACCAAGTCCTGCCATTTCAATTGATTTACCGCATTCGAGTCGAAGCACGACAGCTCCTGGGGATGAAAACAGTATTATCATTTTCAGTCCTTGGAAAGCTTTTGGGCCTTTTGTCGACAGCGTACAGGTAATAAGTTACATGTTGACAACTGTACAATCATTCCAACTTTTAAAATATTTAGGACTTTTAAATTGTTCAGTGTAATAGTGTTGCCCTCTGTTTAAAATCAAAATAACATGAAAATCTCAGATTTACTTCATTGTAGTATTACTTCATTAATTATTGCTTACACAAAAGTGAACAACGGGGAAATATTACAACAGGATCCGCCTAACTAATTCGAATTCGGCGATATTATCTCTTGATTCGAGATTTTCTAAGAACAATTATTATACTCTAATTGGTTCCAGACAGTGATTAATGGTATCGCGCTAACAAACGATGTTTTCGCTCTCAATCATTTCGGTTTCTTGAACATATTCATTATCGCGGATAATGTTCTTATTGTTTGATGAAAATGAGTGGCCATCAAATTGTTAAGCTTAAATATCATGTTCCGACCAAGATTTAATATTTCTTTAAGGGATTTTTTATAAGTTTTTAATGTTTCATAATTTAAAGGACGGAGAAATTCTACCAAGTCAAGATTCAGTGATGTTTCCAAGTCCCAGGAATCAAGTTGGCGCTCTGGAAGAAGAGGCTACTGATCCAATACCCACAATACAATCGTCGAAAAAGGTTAGATATAAATACATATATATTTTATTTGGGATTAAGATATACTTAATTTACCAGACTAGAAAAAGAAACATTTTAAACCTGGTCTTAACTATCATAATGAGGCAACTTTCTTAAAACGACGATATACTTTCTTTGCTTCCTTAATTTTACACAAAATTATGCAAATTGATCTGCCGCTTCAAACTCTCAAACTATTCAAATTCTGAAACAATAACTAAGGATCAAACATTGTCAAAACGTTTGAATTTCCGCATTAGCTTAAATGTGAAACTATTGATTACTTAGTGGAATGCTTAAAGTTCATCCGTATAATTCCAAAACTTCCACGGATTTACGAACGATAGAAATTTTTTCTTTTTAAATTTCCACATATCCATAAAATGAAAGAACTAAAATTTATTGAACAAAAAAAATCCTATAATTAAGGGACGTAACCCCTTAGTAATCAATGTATTCACCGTGCGGGTGATGGGTCCATCGTTGCAGGGAGAGGAGCTTCAACAGTGCCTGGGACTTGCTTCCCAGGTGTAGGCTTAAGATGCCCCTATCTAACGCTCGTTAAACGCTCACCTCCACCGTCCAAGATCCTACTACCTCTTTAATTTTAATGAATTAAATGTGATAATTTTGTATCTCCAGGTGGCTTCAGTCAGTCAGTTATCATTTATGGTTCGTCCTGACAGCTTCGAGCGAGGTCAGCTGAGATTGACTTGTATTTCTACGGTGCATTCAGTGTACAACGAGCAGGCTGAACTGGTCATTAATGAGGAAAGACCTCAGATCGCTTCAGTGCTCGGTACTCGGGATCATTCCTCGGGTTAGTATCAACTATTTTTCTAAAAATACACAAAGGCTCTTGGAATATATCAAGAGATCGATTTGTTTAACACATCCAAATAAAACGATCAATGCTCATGTTGTATAACCTGCACTTTTTATTTGCTAACATGCCATACTAAACATAGCAAGTCGGCTAACTAGCTTTTACAAACAATTTGGTTTTAAGAAGAAACAAAAATGTGATCATTCAGAAATGAATATGTTATCTATCTAACGTATTTACAAAACAAGAATATTTTGCTATCTTCGCACAGGTATTTACAAGAATTTATTATAGTATTTTTTTATTTAAATCCATACAGTAATTTTGAATAAAATATTAATAACCATTCACTGTTCCATCTATTATACACATTTATACATAATATGCGACATTAGTATTAGTAGTATTCTTTCTTTTACACTAGTTTTTGCCCGCGACTTCGTCCGCGTTAGTTTGGTCAAGAGTAATATATGTAGGTATAGCTGACCAGGCAGTGGTGGCCTAGTGGTTAAAGGACCCGCCTCTCGTTGCCGAGGGCGCTTGTTCGATCCTGGCCCGGGCAAGTACCAATGTGATTTTTCCGAGTCATATGTACTTTCTAAGAGTATTTAGACATCACTGATTTATGTTGATTCCCAAAGAGAGGGTTGATGTCAGGCAGGCGGCCGGTCGTAAAAACAAATAGCCAAAACTATTCACTAACGTGTAGGGCAGACCCTGGCTATAGATGGGAAATTGCCAGGTAGAAGAAGAAGCTGACCAGGCAAACTCTATTCCGTCTTAGAGTCCATAAATAATCAGGTTTTTCCTGTTTCAATCAAACAGAATGATTGACATATTAGTTAGTTGTCAAATCTAATGTCAAAAAAAACGTTTGTATGGGAAATAGAAATGGGCTGTTTTTAGGGTTTTCCCGGCAATTATTCCAATTTTTCTCACCTTTTAAACCTTTCCTGGACTTCCAAGAGTATTTCAAGACTAAAATTAGGCAAATCGGTTCAGCCGTTCTCGAGTTTTAGCGAGACTAAGGAACAGCAGTCCCTTTTTATATATATAGAAGATTACTAGGTTGGCTTGAATTTTGTACATTCAATTGTTTTTATAAAAATATAATAACAATAATAATTTTTGTATTCATCGCACATGTTGCAAGAAAGTTTTGTTTTATAATATGGTGCCGACTACTGTCCGAATTGTTAGGTAATCCAAAAAGTAAACCGGATAAATAAATATTACCGTGGCTTACGTTAAGGTGCACTTCTATTGGGGTCAGTGTTCGCAAAAGTTAAAACCATTTCCTAGCTTCATGTAAATTATAGTAATTTGAAACGGTAAATTATTCTTATGTCTATATTCAAACACCAGTAAATGTATGGAAAACGGAAATTTTATTCAAAGTAAGTAGTAATGAAACCTAATAAAAATTCGTTTCGAGTCGATCTAGTGATTCCCAAAGTCTCGGAGCGGTACTGAGGAAAAGAGTCTTAAGATCTTGAGGAATTTTTATATTTCGATCTAAACATTACCTTTGAATACGTAGAAAGCAAACCAATCCCGCTCTACAATTCAAATATTTACTGCAACTGACTTACACTGCAATTTTCCTCGAGAGAACTTTCGGGGTGAAATGCGACTGCTTCTTGGCATCTGAATATATTTATAAAAAACCGATTTCATACCCAGGTAAATATCATAAATCTCATACTGGAACCTCATTACCGAAACTAAACTTGCTCGTTATATACATATTTAACAAAATGGCCCTCAAAGTTTTACTATTGATAAGTATGTTTGTGTTCTCGGGATGAAACCATTACAATATATGTATTTATTCTAATGTGTATGGAAAATGATAGTTATATAAAGAATAAATTATAATGAGTTATACTTAAACTCCAATTACAATGTTTTGGATAAGAAAAAATAAAAAATCCAACAGATAACATTAAAACTAAACAGGTTATAAAAATATTGAATATAAAGGATAAAAAAATTATTGTTCATTTTTAGCCCATTAAATAGAGAAACTAAAAAAATTTAATTACTCGTAATACTAGACATATTTTGTTTTATCAATTTGTATTCAATCCTTTGTTAAACCTCGTCAAGATTTTAATATTTTTTTTGTTGTATTAGAAATTTATTTCTAAATGACATTCAATATAGAATGGGATTATTGATATTGATATTGAATTAATTGAAATGTTATTTGGATTAGCCGCTTTTCAATCATCGAGTACCTTACAATACATTTTTGTTACCAATATACATGAATATTATTCATATTTTTTGAATACTTTTAATAATAATTGTTAATCCTATAAATTGATTCAGTCGTAGTTAACATTTGTATAGTTTACGTATCGAATGTATACTGCAGTATTGTAATACAATAAATAATAAATCTCTCTCTATTAAGCCACCCATACCCACTGTAAATGTTTTGGTTTAAAAAGGCAAAATATTATGTTGAATGGGTAATATTTTTTAATATTGCACGTAAAAAGCCTGCATATAATTAAAACTATAATATCCAATATAACGCAGAAATTTCATATTCACCATATTTTATTGCATCTAAAATTGGATTAAAACAATTAGAACAATACGTATACAAAAAGGGAAAAAAGAGTAAAATTAAAATAGACATACGAAACGTCAAAAACCAATTTGGACATAGAACACAAATATGAGCTATGGGAAGTGGCACTCCACAAAATGACCGTAAACATGCCTCGTGAAATTCGCAAATATCCTCTACATGGAGAATAAAGGCTTACAACAGTAAACCGTCATATACGCATGCAATCACTCAAATATTTGCTACCGCTAGCTTCTATAACATCCAGCCTGTTTGTCGACTCTAAATATTCCGGTAGAACAACCAAAGGTAATGTTTAGTGTATCTGGACGATATATCAGTGTGTTTGCGAAGCATTGCTATAAGTAAATACGTTGGTGTGTTACTAGCAATCCCGTTAGTATAGATGCATTCAAGCCTATGTAGAAATGTAAAGCCAAAATCAATAATGTATTTCCTATATTATAATATAGCATAAACTAAATATCTTATGAATGTATTCATTACTGTTTCGAGCTGTAATTATTGTCTTAAAATATTTCAGCAAACAAGACGAATGGCTATTTTCGGTACATCGTCATTTGTTACTATATTTAGATACTGAACAAGTAAAGTCTTAAGTAAAATCTCAAGTCCCGAATAATGAATAAAATTAAAAAATATATATTATAGTAAATGTATGTGACTTTTTCTGTATATCTTTTACATATGTATGTGGTAAGTGCTTGTACCTTGAGCTTTTCTTTTTTTTCAATTTATAATCTTCAAAATTATTTACACTTCATAGCTTTTAGTGTTACGTAATATGAAAGTTTGATTTTGGACTTTTCTGTAGTAATCTAATATTGACCAGTCTTTTTAGAAGAGGCAAACCTCTATCAATCTTAATAAAATGACGTCATTTGATCAGCTACTAATAAATTATATAACCAAAGGCTAGATATGTAAATAACAGAAAAAATTTGAGTTTAAAATTTTTCTTATTATCAAACAAAAACTTTATATAACAGTGCGATATAAATGCATTTTTATTTATATTTTTAAGACTTCACTTTTAAATTAATAGTTTTTATAAATAAAGATTTTATACACGAAATAAAAAACAAATGAAAACTGCACCAAAAACTTCACATACTATAATGGATATAAAAGATGTTGCTTTTTTAAAAGTTGGAAATTTTTATTTAATAAAATAGTCTTAGCGATTCATTTTCACTCCTCCCGTCTGGCTAAAACCGGTTCTAAAAGTAGAAAGGGTTGGCACATATTAAATTAAAGTAAGCGGTTACTTAGCAAAAATAACTTAATAATTGGATTTAATATCTTAGTATTATAAACAACTTGTATCAATTAAATAAACGTATGATTTAAAAAGTTTACATTTTTTATATAGTGGTTAAAATTATACAATCTTTATGATTTTGGGTTGACACCCATTTGGCATGTACTTATGTACATATGTATGTATGTTATCTAGGAGTCGTTGGTAAAAGAAAACATTTAAGGGAAACTTGTCAAGTTGAATTTATATAACACCGAGATACATGTACGGATGAATATTAAAAGAGTGTAAAAGTGTATGCGTACAACACTAGCTACATTTGAATTTTAGGAATGTGTTCAGAACCGGGATGTTACATGCCTTTTACAGTTTGTGATTTTTTTTCATAATATAGTTTTTAGACTAAAATTATTAGATATTTTAGCAGTGAAAATATAAGTGATATTTTGGTATATTAAAAAATATATATACATTTAATTTATAAACACAAATATAAAGACAGTAAGAAATCCATATTGTCACAATATTTATTCAAACTTCAAAAAACGGGTGTTACATTTTCAATAGTCGTAGTACTAACTATAGTACTATTATTATACTAATTATTCTTTAGAAACAATAAAAAATAATGTGTTAATTTATGCATATTACATTTTAATTTATTGCACCACAAAAAGCTAAAGAGGACTTTTCATAGCAAAAGTTGTTTTCACATTGTATGTGAACTAGTCGCGATATTTCCACGCTTACACAAAACAAAGTTGTTGCGAATGCACCCAGCACGCGTGAAGTTGGTCGCGTGTCAAAGTTATAGACTAATTAAATTGTTTATAGCACTTAGCAATAGTTGGCACGCCTAACGAACAACTTTATACGTGGCAGAGAGTTTAATTTTGACTCCGCAATATGTTTTACTTAGATTCCGGAAAAAAATATATATCTAAATTTTTGTACAGTTACGAATATGCCTCAAACATGTCCTGCAGTCAAATGTTGAACATTTCAATAATAAATATTAAATTTGTAGCTTAACAAAGAATTGCTTAGTTTTTCTTTGGGAGAAGGCCTTATTATTTTACTGCCTGCGGCCTGCGGGTCCGCTAACTAAATGTAAATAACTGTTATCCGAATAAGAA